GGGCCCGGCCGACGGCGCAGGGACGAAAGAGCGCGGACAGCCGGTCCCCGGCCCCGCCTAGGGCCGACGACTCGCCGCTGACTGCTACTGACCAAAAGCGGACCAGAATAGCGGAAGCCACGACGCGGTCGAGAGACGGGTAAACCCCCACACTCACAGCTCCTGGGGCCGGATGGAACCTTCCTGACTTCCGGTAGAGGGCCGGTGTCCTCGCACGGCTTTATGGGAGATGTAGTTTGAAGGTCAAAGGCGGCACCACCCATGAAGGGGCGGGGTTTGGGGGGGAAGACTGGCTGGCCGGGCAAGAGTTCAGGCTTCCTGGAGGTGAGTGAAGAGGTGGTGATTCCTAAGGGTGAGACCAAGCTGTGTAGAGTGTGGTGCTGGTGATGGGAAACCCCCGGACTGTGAAAAGGATTTAAGTTTTCCAGTATTTTGCACCCAGCTGATAAAGTCCAGTGCAGTGGAGTGTTCAAAGCATTCTTTCATGTTAAAACTGGAATATGAACTGGACCAAGGCTTCCCAGTATATGATCTTATACAGGCTGTTGGCCTCTGAACCTTGGTCTCCTCGTGTGAAAAATGGTGCCATGTGTCGATGCCCACCTCATTCGGCAGTCATTTATAATGTACATAACGAGTGCCCACAGCACCTTCTTGGGCTGTTGTGAGGTTTAAATAGGATAGTGCTTGCAGAGCTCTTAGGACAGTGCTAAGTCTAGAGCTAGTACCCACAACACATTTATTATTGTTTCTGTTGTTTATTATTTTAGTTCCTTCCCTTTCATGCTCCAAAACCTACAGATGTTACATGAGTCCGAGATTACAAAGGTAAGTGTTGGCAGTCTTCTATCTTCCAGATTTTTTCTTTCCTAAACGGTCTCTTGGGCAATTGGCAACAATTAAGGAGTCTTTTAAGGTTGACCATTGCTTCCTGCCTGGATTTTAGTCATTATGTTAACAGTATCAGATGCTAGACCTCAGTCCTTGAGTTTGGCTAAGAGGAGAATTTAGAGCCAACGAACTCAAATATAACAGAAAGTTTATTTAGAAAGTCATAGAGATAGAAGAAGTGAGCTGTGGAAGAAGTGAGCCAGCTGGGCTGTGTGGACTCAGGAAGAAAGTTACAGAGGCCAAAGAAGGGTTCTTGGAGCTTAGGAGGAAGAAAGCAAAGGTCCTCTGAGCTTTGAGGGAAGAAAGGGGGAAGGAAAGTTTCGGGGAAGCTCAAGAAAAAGAGAGATGGCACACCTTGAGCCCTTAAGGGTTTTTATCTGGAGGTCTCAGGGGAGGATCTCAATAGAATATTTATCAGCTTCCAGGTGTGTCCTTTTGGGATAGTGACCTCTACTGATCTGTTGGCACTAGGGTAGTCATTGCAGCTGGTCCTGATGTTATCCATGGCGTTGCTTCATCTGGTTTTGCTGCTTTTCTGAGCCTGGAGTTGAAACACAACCGAGGTCTAGATGTTATCTCTAGTTTGACCCAAACTCTGTCTCTGTGGTCAACAGACCCAAGACATTGTTCCTAAGATTATTTGATGCCAGTCAGAACCTTGTTGTCTTGAGGGCTTAATACTTAAAGGAATGGTCATGCAAGGGCATGTATGGGGGCCATATGAGGTTATTCTCTCGCCCCTGGGGGCAAGGTCCCACCCTACAATAGGGAACTAACTCATTATTGTGAAAACTAGGAAATAAAGTAGAAAATTGCACATTTATCCTAGTCTTCCCAGTTTTGTCTATTGCTAGGCACCCAGGGCTTCCAGCCCTTGTGACCTTCTGTACCTAGCTTGTAGTTTCTATTCTGCTAATGTCTGTCTAAGTACCTACCATATCAATTAGAAGCTTCTCACAGTGAAGTTTTATGTGCCTGTCGACATTGTACTTTCATACTGCTCTTTCTAGCTTTGTCCTATGCTTCTGTCAGTCAAGAATGCCTTCATTCCTTAATAATTTCAGTAATCAGGCAGGAAGTCAGAAATACTAAGTTTTAGTTAATTCACTTGGAATACCCAATCTTTGTATTCTAACGTATGTTAAAGTAAATAGATTAGTATAACGAATGCTCATATATTAATCATGTAGCATAAATAATTATTAATGTATAATCTTCCTCCCAGCCCTTTAGATTCTTTTGAAGTAAATTCTAGACACCATATTATTTTACTAATAAATATTTAAGAATAAACTTGGGAGGGAGCTGCCTTGGAGAGTTGCCAGAGTTGCAATGGACTTCGTATGAGGAAGAAACAAACCTTTTGGTGTACCCACTGAGACTTCAGGGTTAAGTTGCTGCCTTGCCATGACCTAATCTATTTGGAGTAATCCAGGGAATGATGAGCAGTAACCTCTGAAATGAGTTTTGAAAAGCCAGGGACAAAATCTGTTTGTTGGGGGTTTTCCCTTTTCTTCTTGCCAGGGTAGAACCTTGTCCCTTTAAATAGTAGGACCAAACTTAGCAATAAAAGTAGATTGGTAGATTAGGAGATTGTAGATTCTACTAAATTATAGATATGTCAGAAAAACATAGCACACAGTCCTGATATTCAAGGGGTCTGGTAGGCAGAGCATGGACAGCGCGCTCTGTCAGCAGGCCCCGGCCTGATTGAAGGCCTGTTGTGCTCACTCTCTTCCAAATTCATTTCCCCTTGCTGACAAATGACAGCACGTGAGAGCAGTTGGCAGAGATGACCAAAATAAAACACTTTGCCCTTTGCAATGTGTACCTCCAGAAATGCCTTTAATCTTCAAATACACTCCTTTATGATTTTTATGGGGACCTAGCCACTTTTGTTGAATTTAATGGTAATTTCATCTGTCTTATGATTTTTCAAAAACAATTTTCAGAGTTTTTAACTTTTAGAAGTATCTGAAAGGATTGTACCTTTCACACAAACATCAGCTTAGTTACGTATTTTATAGAGTCCCCAATAGCAGCTTATCCTTACTTACAAGTTATCTTTCCCCGTTTGTTGTATGAGCTGTGTTCTATGGAACAGCAGCCATGATGTGAGCGGGAGTCTGTCCAGAGGCAGAATGAACATCGCTTGAAAGAGAAGCATTCTTTCTGTGTACTCAGGTTAACTGATGCGGTAATTCAATCACGAGCTGCCGCTCCCATTTCATGTTTAAGTCGCTTAAAGTTGATTTTTTTTTTTTTTTAGAATGTCTAGGCTGATGAGGATTTAAATGGATTTGTAGCATTTAAAAATGTCCTCAACACTGATTGCAGCATGACATCCGTCACGTTCTGTACTCAGTTTTAGTTTAGTTATTTTGAAGCTATCAGATGAAAAAAAAATCTAAATTTAATATTCTGCAACAGGTTTTTTCCATCACCAGGCCGATGCCCACAGGAGCACAATATATATTTTTTTAGTTTTCGTCTT